TTTTTTTGAGATGGAGTTTTGCTCTTGTTGCCCAGGCTAGAGTGCAATGGCGTGATCTTGGCTCACTGCAACCTCCACCTTCTGGGTTCAAGTGATTCTCCTGCCTCAGCCTCCTGAATAGTTGGGATTACAGATGTGCACCACCATGCCTGGCTAATTATTTTTAGTAGAGACAGGTTTCTCCATGTTGGTCAGCCTGGTCTCAAACTCCCGACCTCAGGTGATTTGCCCACCTCACCCTCTCAAAGGGCTGGGATTACAGATGTGAGCCACTGCGCCTGGCCTCTATTCTGATCTTAAGGCTACCCAGCAAAACTTCATTTCAAATATTATATTTTCAATGTTAGCATTAACCTGTGGTTCCTTTTTATGGTTTCTTTTTCTCTTCTGTGATTTCCTATCTTTTCATTCATTATGACTATATTTTCCTCTAAATCCTTGGGCATAGTTTTGGCAGCTGCTTTAAAATTTTTGTCTCTAATTCTCCCATCTGGTTCATCCTGGGGTAACTGACTGACTTTGAGTCACATTTTCTTATTTTTCCACATGCCTGGAAATTTTAGATTCTATCCTGGACACTTTGATGAACTCAAACTTCTCAGTTCAGTTATTTAAGCCTTATGTGGGCTGCTTGGGGGTCTGCTCTCCATATGTGTAGTGTAGGTTCAGCAAGAGACTCCGGCAGTTTCTATATAGTCTTAAGTTTCCTCCTTTGTGGATCTCCCTTTTCTGTGATTTCCCCTCTACTTCCCATTGCTGTGTGTTTGCACCCTTCCTCCTCATCTCTTTGGTGAGGGAGGGATTTCTACTATAAGGTTATGGGAATAGGCTAAACATGACACTAGACACTACACGGATGGGACTGACAGCCCAGTACTAGTCACATATACTCACAGCTGTTCGAGGAGAACAGCTACTTCACACAGGTCCAGGTGGAGCCTGCACTTGGAAGTAGTGAACAGCCACAGGAGCAGGCTTTGTATCAAGAGGATGAGGTTGCTTCTGGTTCCTGAGGGAGGACATGACTGGTATGAATGAGTAATTCCATGAGCTGTCAGGGAACAGCAAAAGCCTGTGACTCAGGAATAAGCAGGAAATGTGCCTGATCCCTGAGTTAAGGAGCAGAGTGTGGACAGGAACTTGTAGTTAGGCCTCTTGATTTTACCAGATATTAAGGCAATACGTGGTATTAACTTTAGAGCATGCACCACCCTGTGGTTGACATGGACTACAATCTCTGGCTCTTCAAGCCAGTAAGTCTGCACGTTTGAAAGTTATAGTCATTCTACATGGTACTGATGAGGGCCTGCCAGAAGGCTAAATGACATTTTTATATGAAACTCATGAACTGCCATTCCCTTCTTCCAAGTGTGAACTCCTATAGGGTTCAGCCCTACAGGGTCCTCTGAGCCCCTCTCTGCTGGTGTGGAGATGAGAAACTGTAGAAATAAGACACAAGACACAGAGATAAAGAAAAGAGTTTGGGCTCGGGGATCCACTGCCAACCAAAGCTCAGAGTCCGGCGGTGGCCCCGAGTGCCTGGATGCTCTGACTTTTATTGAGTACAAAGCTGAGGGCAGGGTAAGTAAGGCATGGTGCAAAGCTGGGGGCTGGGTAGGTGGGGCATGGCATTGGTGGTTGGTGATTGGGTCAAGTACATCACGTGTCATATAGGCAGGGGCCCAAGACTTTCAGATAGATGAGATGAGGTAAGGACCATAACGCATCAGCACTTTTCCATACTTGTCAAGAAAGAACAGACATTAAGGTTTATGTTACTTTTACTGATTATCTAAGAAAAAAGAAACCAGGTACAGAAGCGGAACATGAGAGTAGACGTGGAACGTGACCACTGAAGCACAGCATCACATAGAGACAATTAAGCCCCCAGATGTCTGCAGGCCTACCTGACAGCCACCAGGCCTACCGCCAGAGCTTGGAGGAGCGGAGTTTTCTCCTAAATCCCCTGAGGAAGGAGATGTCTCGGCCATCTTGGACATCTCCTTCCCTAGCTGGCTAAACAGCGGGTGCTTTCCCAGCGCTGGCACTGCCACACAGCCGAGACACCCTCCAGCAGCCCTTACAGGGGTGTGACAGAGGGCTTAAAGGAATGACCTTAGGGTCATTCCTTTCACAAGGTCACCCCAGGTTCACACTTGGAGACCTGAAAGGCATAGAACTACGATCACCTATGAATAACAAAGATTACCTATGAATAACTACTACAGTTATATCTCTAGTTATTTTCTTCTTTATTATTTACATGGAAATAGGCTGAGGCTTCTGACTCCTGCCTCGGCACTTATGGGGTCTCGCCCCTACAAACTCCTGTCCAGAATTTGCCTTCTCTTTCTTGTTCTCCATTGCCTTTTGGTAGATTTTTAAATTCTGTTGAGAATTTATAGCTGTTATTTGCAGGAACACTGATCTGATAGGAGCTATCTGGCCATTACAGGAAGCAGAACTTTCAAAGTTCCTTCTTAATCTGGGCTGCTGAGGGTCTGCCCCACACATGGGTAGTTCAGGGAAACTGCTTTGGACACAAGCAGCTTAACCACACAGCCAAAGGAATTACCAGGTGTGACTAATTATAACAGGAATTGGTGTGGAGTCTTTGGGATAATAATACATGAGAACAATGAGAACATTATCTCAGCTGAAATCCATAACTGGCGGGCTCATTAACAAGTGTTACATAAAACACTTATACTTTGGTTTAGTATAAATTTTGATTCCATACAAATAATTAATCAAACTTGAGCTTGGAATATATTGGATAAAATCTAGGGAAAAAGTTTTTTTTATTTTATAGTTTTTATATACTGCTAAAGTACATATGGGGAAAAATTATGGCTATCATTTGATAATGCAGTCCTGTGTCTCTCCTTAAATACCCACCATGTTTCATTACCCTTGCTTGACTTTTACCACTTTAATCTCTCTTTAATTCTGCCGTCATTGCCAATTTGCTTTTATTTATACTTATGCCCACAGGCATTTCCCTAACATGTGTCATGTCCCTATAAAGATGGTAAATGTCTTATGGACAAAGACCAAAGTCTTGATTTCATTTAAACCCCCACACAGCAGATACTCACATATGCTGATTATTCTTTTCTAGTGAATCCTATCAAGACTCAAATAAACAAATTGGGTTTTAAATCTCTTGCGTACTAGGTATATGGTTGTTTCCTTTGGTGATCACAGAAGGCCTCACAAGACTCAATGGCAGGTTATATAGTAATACGTGGCTGAGATTTACGACAGCAAAGGATACAGAGCAAAAGCAACAGGAAAAGATGTATCAGTGGAGTCCAGAGAGGTCCAGCATGGGATTCTGTTGTCCTTTTCTCTAACTACACAGGAATTCTCTATTTTTCTCCCTCTCTGCCCCACCCCCCCTTTCTCAGCAAACTATAGACATGTGTGGAATGTCTCTGCCCACAGAAGCCCACTTGAGTCTCAGGTTCTAAGGCTTTTGCAGGAGGCTGTTCACGTATGCATACTCTGCTATGGAACTGGCTATGGCAACCAAAGCTCAGGGGCCCAAGAATAAAACCAGATGCATATTATCAATCTTGTTATTTGTGCAACGCAGCTTGGCAAGCCAGTATGGAATGGTCCATTCCTCCAAGCATATATAATAAAATCATCATCAGGAACATAAAGGACACTTTGAGGGCTGCATTCCAGGGGCTGGCCAAGGTAAAGATGGGTGCCCTGGAGACATGTAAGGGGTAAGCCACCAGAACTGCTACAGTAACTCTTTTCCTCACAAGCCCCTGCGAATCCTTGCTTACTAATAGGAATAATACAAAGCTAATGAAGTCTGGGATGTGAGAAGATAGTAAAACCTATTTTATTACTAAATCATTCCCTCTAGTTTCTCTACCCTACCCAACATATTCTAACCTCCGACTTCTATAGCTAGCTGTTCTTTATGAACAGGCAACACACAGGAAGCAGTAGTTTATGGTGCTTAGAAGAGGAGGCCTAAGAAGGATATTGGCTCAAAGTTGTAAAATCTACAGGGTTCATACCCTTACATGATTTAAATTTGTATCATTTCCCCACAAACCTGAGTTACCTCCTGGATTTTTGATTTCATACAGCCTTAACAAGATCTACCTGTGGCCCAAGCCAAAACCTAGATGATCCCTTTCTCTCTCATCTTCTAAATACAGTCGGTAAACGCACTTGGTATTGCCTCCTAAAAATGCCCTGATCCATTTCCTTCTTTCCATTCGACCTCATCTCCCTGCTAACTACTCCTTTTTTGCTTCTCTTTCGCTCTCCCTGCAGGCCTTTATGCATTTCAGCAGGGTTCTCCCTCCTATTCTTTCCTGGAAAGCAAGCACTACACACTGAAGAATAATTTTCTGAAAAGGATTTCTGTCGTATGTAATGAGGTATTATAATTACTTGTCTCCATTTTCTATTGTTTCCTGTATGTTATAGATCTACTAACATCTATTTTACTGGAAAACAAATTAATTATATCTCAAATTGAAAAAAATATATATCCTTAAGATAGACTCAACTGCTTGGAGTTCTCTGAGCCACGCAGCAGGAATAATAAGAGCTGCTTCCTGTGCCTCGTCCTCTCTTTGCTTTGACATCTGGAGTCTTCTCCCAATCTTTTTCCTTTCTCAATTGCTATGTTCAGATTCCTCTTCATTAAACATTTCTGCCAAATTTCATTCCTACGGAAAAGACCACAGTGCAGCAGACGACTTCAGAAAAGGATTCCTCGGCTAGTTAATATTTCATAGGTCCCTTCTGAGGTTGTAGGCAGATGTTACAGATGGTGTTAACATATAACATCGATCTAAATATGAATTCTAACTGCTTTATAAAAATGATAAGAAGTGTTCCACCTGATCTCAAGTGAGATCCTGTAAAAATTGTTAAAAGCTCTTAGCAGCAAGTTGAGGGCTATACGGAATGAGAAAACCTCTCTCATACTGCTAAAAATTTTTCACAAAAAATATGTTTCTAAGCCAAAACTGCCCAGATTAATTGTTAAAGTGAGAAGTCATCAGAAGCTTCAAATTTACCAATTGTGGTACTTCTTGGCTTTAATTTGTGTAATAATTTATGTGCTATTAGAATGCCGGTATACAAAGAACAGACATCACTAATAACAGAAGTAAAAAAAGTTATCATAAAAGTGAACTAAATCCAAATATTTAGTGTATCTACTTAACTACTCTTTTCCTAGATAATACAACATTTGCATCTTGTTATTCCAGAAGATGCATAAAGTTTTTTGTTTCTTTTTTCTTTTCTCTCTTTCCTTTTTTTTTTTTTT